GCTCTGAATGGTGTCCATTCTACGGAGATTAGTAACACTTGGTGTCACAGACAGACCTCCCAACATTGGAAACCACTGGAGAAATGACTTTACAGAACTACGAGCAAGCAAAGCCTCATACACAAGAAAGGACCAGAGAGATTCAATTCTTGGAAATCCCAATGAACATCAAGGTGATTTTCAGTCACAGTACATTGATTTGGCTTATTGACAAAGGAAAGAAGGGAGAATCTTTTTAATCACTGAGGATACATAAAGGTGAAGATAAGGTGAAAACTGCCAAACAGCTTTCATGTGCTATACAAGGCTCAAAGCTGTGAGATGGCCCATTTCAACTAAGGCACGTGGGCTTAAGGGCAAAGGGGGAAACTGAGGCAGAGACATGGCTACTGTCAAAATAGTGAGACTAGCTCTGACTCTTAGGAGGAGCTAAAGAACACAGCATTCTCCCTCAGAATTCCCAGTTTTCTCTTTGTCGTGTTTTACTGAGATAACAGAGAGTGGAACACAGAAGCCTCGGGTGCTCAATCTCACAGGCCGGGACAACTGTAGGTACCAGGAATGCATCCTAAGGTTTACACTCCGTCCCGAGGTTTACACTCCGTCCACCCCAAAGTCCTCTGTGCTCCTCACTAGTCAAACCCCTGTGTACATGATGCTCACTGCTCTGATTTCTACCGCCAGCTCTACATGTGACCTCCAGTTCATGCTGAGTGCATCCCAGACGGCGAGCTTCTGTCTACCCCGGCAGTTTATCTACTAGTACATGGGCTACATCAGACTCCACACCCACACAAATGGTCTCATCACTACTACCTAGCCATGCAGAGAGGGCAGCGGTTCTCAGCATGAAAGCCTGGTTCCCCAGGCCAGGCTCCGGAAAATGCAAAGCTTCCCTCCTGCCTCCAAGTGCCAGTGTTGACTGTGTGCGGAAGACGTGCTCCTTCTGAGATAGGAAGACTGCTCCCCTTCAGAGACATGCTCCTTCCGAGATAGGAAGCCTGCTCCCCTAGAGACTGCTCCTACCGAGAGATCAGTGGCCTTGCCTCCTTGTTACACAGAATAACCCCCTTGTTCATCTGTATACAGTATACCCTTCCTCCTTGGACAGCTGTATACAGTAAGCCCTGCCCCTCCCAGGACAGCTGTGTACAGAAACCCCACCTCTTTGTTCAGCTATACATAATAAACACACTGAGCTTCCAAGGTGATGACGCTTCTCCGTCACCAGAGAGCCCAGTCCACCCAAGACCAGCTTCTCTGTATATCTCTGTCCTTTCTTCATTGCTTTACCCAGTCAAGTCATGTCCCTGGAGGTACGTAGGACGCGGCCCGGGACACTTCGGGTGACCATCAAATTCTAGAATCTGGAACGATGCAAGGCAGTCTCGTTGGTGAAGCGTTGACCCTGGTGAAGGTGTCCCCGGACACAGCAACAGAAGACGTATTTGCTGTTTTGAGCATACCCCCTGACTCCATTCCACATTTACAGAAAGGGCACAGCTGGTACAATTTCCATACACACCAAAAGGCTCAGGGATGTTATGACAGGGCTTTGTGTATACACATCCGTGTGGGGTATAAAGGGATATATCTCCCTTACATGTAAAGACTGTAACAGCAGACGTCTCCCCTCTGACTACACTGAGACCTTGACGAAGACCTGGTTAAAGGTTTTCATGTGGCCACCAGCTCATCTGTTCTCCTGAAGACTCGAGTTGGCCTGTCCTCCTTGCTATTCTGTGCTCAACTTATACAAAATGCTGCAGAGCCTTGCCCGAAGCATCGAAATGCTGAAATACGTAAGTTTAATAAAATTGCTTTTATTTCTTCTTTACACTAGACATTATATTGCTGTTTTAAAAACTGTAATACAGGTAGATTTTATTATACTGTTTTGCAAACAGGTTGTTTAAAAACGTGCTCACGGTTGGGTGACTGACGGGGAGGAAGCCTGAGAGCGAGAGCACTGACATCGCCCTCCCTCTTCACCTGACCCTGGGAGGAGTTGTGGCTGTGCCTCCACAAGACCCGAGTTCTCACGTTGAGGTGGCCAGACACGCAGAGTCAGGCTCTCTAGACCTTTCTGGCAGCGCGAAGCTGTGCTGTGGTTACCAACCTGCGCTTGCGGGACAGGTAACTGCAAGAGAGTTCTGATCTGACTTTACGTCAAGAATCCTTTTCTTTCCCCAGGTAATTTTATTTCCCGGTCATCTTAAACATTTCTGGTCATTGTGGGCTCCCCTTTTTGCTCTCTTCTCATTCTGTTTTAATTTATGACACCTTATAAATCCTTTCCAAATCAGGTGGGATATAGAATGTCTCAATTACTCTGTCCCAGGAGTGCCAATGGACACACAGGAGGAGACCCAAAGGGGCCATGCACTTGGAAAACCTTCAGCGACTTTCAATGCCTGCTGACAGCTCTCTTTGACAGGGCCCCTCTGCCCACTCTCACGTACTAGGCGTGGGGGGGGGGGGCCAGGAATTGGCACTTCCGAGGCCACAGCAGGTAAGCAGAGGGGAGTGAAGTTGCTAACACTGCAGATCCTTCTCCTGCATCACAAACCACTACACAACCAAAGAGGGGAAACCGCAAACCATGTGCCAGCTTTTCATCACACACCAGGAGGTCACAGCCAGGGAGTCAGGGCCTCTGAGAGCATCTCCCCTTTGATGGCAGGATCACACTAAAGCCCCCGTGCAGCCTAAGAGGCTTCAGGGCCTACACGCGTCCCCATCCCCCGTGTCAGCTGTCCCACTGCTGCTAACAAGACGTTCCATCTCTAGAAACCCCGGCTGCAGGTGAACAGACAGCCCTGTTGACCCCTCATCTGCGGGTTTCTCCCCTGGTTCTCCTGCACAGCTGGCCCGTGAGTACACTTCAGCAGCCCTGCCGTTCCCCCGAGCTGCACGTGTGACCACTGTCTTCACACCCCCTCTCCTGAAGATGCTCCCTGCCTCCTACAGGCCACCCAAACCCACACTCTTCGCAAAGAGGCAAATTTCAAAGTACTGTCCTAGAACAAAAGAGCCTTCTGGTATTCTGTCGCTTGCCAAAAGGACCTATGTAGGAAAAGATGGGGATTTTCATTCATTTTATTCACTTCCATTTCCCTAGTGCCTCCCCCAGTGGCTGGCACACAGTTGCCTTCAGGGAGTGTTTGTTTGGTCAATGAGTGAGTGGGGCTAACGTCCAGCAGGGTCTCACTGGGACAGAGGGTTTCACGCCTCAGCAGCATAAAGGGCACTTTCACGCCCCATTGCAACACAGGCTTCAGCAGAGCTGAGGCTGTGTGAGAATGTGGAGCAAATGCCCTTTACTGGGCTGCACACTGACCACCCAAGAGCAAGGACTTACTGTGCACCAGAATGGCAGCCAGCCCAGACTGAAGGTAAGTCAGTTCCAGGCACCTTCCCCCATCAGATCCCATCTCAGGGACATCCTGTTTCTGCTCAGGAGTTAGTTCAGATGCGGATACGTAATATTAAATAAAGCGACGTGTGGGAGATGAAGAAATCAGAAGGGATCACAGAATAAAACGACGCCAGCAGCTGCTTAGTGAGCTAGGGAGAGAAGAGGCACACCGCTCCAGGACCTGCTTAGAGCAGATGACTCGGTTCAGTGACAGACGTGCTTCAGCCCCTCTTTTGTCATGACCTCAGGAGCCCAACTGATGAGATCCTGTAGTCTCCATTCCTAGGGTGTTCCTCGGGACCAAAGTGCTGGGATGTGCCCCTCTAGTGAGCATCCCATACCGGGCAGAGAGCTTTCCCTGGTGGGAAGGTGAGCCTACCTGCCATTCCGGGCAGCCTCCCTCCCTCCGCCAACACTTAGACACGGCCGATCTGAAGCCCAGAGGAGGCCGGTCCTCAGACAAGGCAGCCTCCATCTAAGCTTCTGATAGCAAACAAGGTGCTCCTGACATCTCACCCACAGGACTGCTGCGAGGACAAAGGGCAGCGAGAGCAAGCGGCCTGTAAACCGTGACGGGCTGAGCACGTTTGTAAACACTGTCGCAGCTCCCAGCCAGCGCCACCCTGTCCGGAGAGAGGCGTTCCGCCAGGGGGTTAAGGAATTCACCTCCCCTCATCAGGACCTTTCTTCTGAGCCCAGACCTCTACGAGGACACTCCTAACGAGTTAGTTACACTTGGCGGGATCCCAAGGCCCGGGAGCAATTTCCACACAGAGACGCACGTACTTAGTAAACCTCAAGAAAGTTAGGCAAGTCCCCAGATACAGGCTCGCTCTCTCTGTCTCTGTCTCTCTGTCTCTCTCTCACACTTTCTCTCTCTCAATCACACACACACACACACACACACACACACACACACACACACACACACCACCGGAAATGGGAGCGAGAGGACCGAACTGCCATCACCTTTATCCTTCATCCACGGAGAACGCTGACACACTGGCTACCGAGAGTAACTTAAGGGCCTTTGCCCGGGTCCAGGCGGCTGTTCAGGCCTAGCCACCCCATTCCAGGAACTCCGCAGTTTCCTCCTACCTGGCGGTGCCTGGGAGCCCCAGCGGGGATGCGGAGAGATCCAGCAGCTGCGAGCTAAACCCGCCCCGGCCGGGGCCGGCCGGGAGCAACCGGAGCCCTGGGAGCCGCGCTGGGGGTGCTCCGGCCGCGCTCGGGGGTCACATTCCTGCCGCTGGCGGGGCACGGGGCAGCAGCCGGGCTCCCGCCCCTGTGGGTCAGCGCCGCCAGCTCCCGGCGGCTCCCAGGCTCCGAGCTGCACGCAGCTCCCACTCCCAGCCGCCGCGGGGGCGTGCGGCGGGCGGAGACTGCCGGCCAGACGCGGGCACGAGCGAGCTGGCCGGGTGCCCGTGCCCCGCCCTGCGAGCCGGAGAGGCTGGGCAGCCTGTCCCTGCCGGGCACCCCGGGGGCTCCGCACCCCCGCCGGGGGTCTCAGTTCCCAAAGGCTCCGCTCCTCGGAGCGGCCTCGGTGTTCCCACAAAAACCAAAACCAGCTGGGACAGCTCACCTCGACCTCGCGAGCAAACCAGGCCACCTAACTAAGGTCCGAGCTGGCGACCCGCGAGCGCCAGATTCCCAGGCAAACACAGTTCTGCGGCCAGCAGGAGCGCTGGAGCCTGGGGCTGGAGCCTGGAGCTGGCTCTGACGACTTGGGAGTCACTAAGTTTGCGAGGACCTCGGTTTCCTCTTTTGTCGCCAAGCTTGCATCTTGGGGGGAGGGCTGGGGGGTAAACGAGCGCTGGCACAGACCCGGTGCTGCGCGGCTTTATACGTTGTTGCTGCTGAACGCCAGGCCGAGAAAAACACGTTCTCTTGGCTCATCATAACCCAATTAGTTGTAGGGCTTGCTGTGCGAAGGAGGATTCGAGCCCAGAAAAAAAATTCAAGGACGGGCAAGGTACAAGGAGGATACTGTGATCCCAGGAACAGCACCGCCCATTCCATGCCGCGGACCCGCTTCTCTCCAGGTCCTAATGGACAGCTGTGCAATACAACTGCGAAGAAACGACTCTTGTTCACACAGAAAAGCACACGGCCGTTTCCAGGCCCCCTTCCAGGGTTGCCTCCCACACGCACCCCAGAAAGTCCAGCTTGAAGTACCCATAAAGGGATGCGCGCGGCTAAGCAGAGCATCGATGCCGCCTGCAAGGCAGAAGCTCCTCACGCACTCAGCGGTTTCCAGAGCTCCTTTTCCTCAGAGAGGCAGGCTGAGGTCTGGCCAGGGCACGGTGCTGTGCCAATCCATTCCCGTCCCAGGGGTCAGTATTCGCGAGGTGGTTCTTGCAGCCTTGACTAAGGCTCACAATCGCATTGCGATCCGACCCCCTTGGTGGCCAGAATCGTCATTGCTGCCTGGGTCAACACTCTTCAGAGCTCCCGTCAGGACGCAGGCACAACAAGCCTTCCCCCTCAAGGCTGCCTCCACAGATGTGTGCTGGGCTAGCCGCCATGCCCGCTTCTTTTCCTGCTGCGTGTTAACAGTGCACATAGTTACAGGTTGAAGAGGGACGCTTCATCCGCACGTGACAGTCTGAGCACGTCCACCTCTGCAAGTCTAACCAGTGTCTGTTCTGTGCCGTGCTCTTTCCTCCTCTCCAGCATCTCACCTATGAGATGGAGCCTGTTGGTGGTTTGTTTTTTGTTTTTGTTTTTCACTCTGGTTTATATTGTCTAAGACAAATATTAGCAATTCCATGCATTTTCCGAAAAAGCCACGATTGCACCCTGGCTATATTTAATTCCTTATAGCTGAATAATAATTTCATGTATGTCCTGCGCTTTCTTTGTCCCTTCACCTATTGAAAGGCTCCTGGGCTGGTTCATTATTTGATTGTGGTGAGTAGCGCAGCATCAAAGATGAGCATGCCGGGGTCTGCACGCTGACTTACACGCTTAAGGAGCGGAGGCAGGAGCGCTCGAGAAGGTCCACGTGGTGGTCCTATTACAAGCGGGCTGTGCCACTTGGTGGCAGAGCCCTCACCTAGCGTGTAACAGGCCCTGGTTATCCTGACTGTCACCAACAATGTGTGTGTGTGTGTGTGTGTGTGTGTGTGTGTGTGTTCACATACACATGTACATATCCATATATACATATATATTTATATACATATATATACGTGAAGGACCAATCTGGAAGCTTTCTGTTGGTGAACATTAACTTGCCCAGACACATATATCAAAAGGTTTTAGAGCAATTTACAAGTAGCAAATTTGTGCAATAACACAGAAATAAAATTCATACTGTATTTGCACTTGAGACAGTCTCACTATGCCGACAAGGGTGGCCTTGACGTCCTGGGTTCACGTGATCCACCTACCTCAGCCTTCCAAGAAGCAGGTGTGCGCCACGGGGCTCTCTCCCTTTTACACACTGAGCCGGCCCTACCCGTACCAACTTGTCCTGGAGACACGTGGGCCCCCACACGCAGGCAGGCTCTCAGGAGCACACGCCAGCTGAAGCTACTTCCAGACCCCCCCCTTCTGGTCTCAAAGGTTTTACCCAGGCCCCGGTGTCACCTCCTCCCTCCCTCAGACATGCTGCATGCTTCCCCTTGGCCTCCCTTTCCTTTGGCCTCCTTTGTCACATGTGGTTTACGTGCAGGTAACGTGCGTGTGGCTGCTTCATCAGCTCCTCGCCTGACCTCAGTGTAAGCTGCAGGTGGCCTTGTTCACGCCGCCCTGCGCAGGTCCCAGCACCACACAAGTGTTGCAGCATGAGACACGCCGCTAACTCTGCTGTTCGCCCACAGTTGCACGCTGTTCACAGCCCTGGCTCCCATCCATGTCATAGTGCAGTCTGGTCTTCAACATGGCCTGAGCCAGAGAATGCATCCTCTGATGTGCAGGCCTTCCTAAGAGCCAGCGGCTGTAAAAAGCCACAGGAAAGGAGGCCGGCAGGATAATGATGGGCCCGGCCACACCGAGGAACACAGGGTGACCTGTGGATCAAAAGCCCTCCCCGGAGACCAGGCCAGCCTCCATCTCCTTCACCTTCACAGCCCCCAAAGACTTCCAGTCAGAACAAGATGGGGGAGAATGGTGAAGTGCATTGTTACTGGCAAAGATCCTGGGTCCTGAATCAGGAAACACGAGACAGCTCTGAATCAGTGATTTTTTTTCTATCACCAGAAAGAAAGATTCATAAGAAACACGTAGAGAAATGCACATGCAGTTATAGGCAATTGTGTTTTCACAGGCAGGCGCCTGAGGCTCTGCACTTGCTACACCTATTTTTGCTCTTTGTGGGACTTCCAGTAACCTGTCACAGAACCACAACACAGACTCGAAACCACTGTCCCAGATGGACTTCCTCGTACAGCCCCGCATCTCTGCCCCGTCACACATTTTCCATCTACCAACGTCCAAACAGGCATTTTTGAGCCCACGTCTCGTCACTGCCATATCTCAGTTTTAATCGGTCAGCATCCCCCTTTCTCTAAGCAGTTTTTATGGGCTTCTGAGATTGTCTTTCTAGCCAGCATACTATGATTTCTTTTCTCAGCCCTTTACCAAGCAGAAAGCCACGAGTGAACCGGAGCTGAAATCTGAAGCAAATGAATAGCAGACATCAGGGCAGCGAGCCATTCCGTTTTAACTTTCTTCATAAGCAGAGGGGGAAGGACAGATGTGACAAGCCAATTATTTGCTTCACTGCAGTTTAATCTTGCTCAATGAAGGCAAATAGTCGAAAGAGGTGTTATTCCTGGCTTGTGTCACACATTAACAGGAGCAGGGACAGTCCTGAGGTGCTTAGCAGGAGGGCTCTCTCCCCTCTCCTCTCCCCTCCCACCATCTCCCCACCTTTCTCAGCATTTGTCTGTTTCATGATTACTCAAACATGACAAAATCCGAGCACCAGTAACTGAACGTCTGTGGCTCAGCAGGTGATTTTCCCATGACTCTCTCTGCTGCCCAAGAGATGCCTATTGAAACGGGTGGGTCCAGTCACATGCCAGACAACAAGAACATGGCCCTCCTTTAATCCCCTTTATTTATTTTCACGTTTTTATACTGTGTGTGTGTGTGTGTGTGTGTGTGTGTCAAGGTGGGAGGACAACCTCAAGTGTCATTTCTCAGGCTCATCCCACCTGCACCGTCTCCCCACAGACAGATCACAAGTGTGCTTCTGCCATGCCTGGCCTTCTCACCTGAGCTCTGAGGACTTACAAGGCCAACACTGTGCTTCCTGAGCACCCCCAGCCCCACATCCACTTTAAAACCGAGATGCTCAAGGGCCCCATCCCTGATTCTCTTAAGTCTCTATAGACAGTCTCCTCCCTATAAGCATTTTCCTTCTCCCCATAAGCATCTTCCAAACCCACCCTTGGAGTCCTTCAGTCTGTTGACGTCTTCTGAATATAACTGACAGTGTAATTCCTGTAAGTGGTTTTCCTTTAACATGGTCATGGTAGTCAACTAAGGACAAGAGTCCTTAACCTTGAGGAGCCATGTTGAACCGTTCCCCACATAGTGTTCTCATGACGTGTTCTTACCTTCTTGACTCTGGGCCAGTGTTAGTGACTTACTCGATCAATAGAAGGAAGGAAGCAGAAATGACTTCTGAGGCCAATCGAATGTCTGGTTCTTTCTGGGGCTTTGAATACTCACCCTTCTGGCCTTGAGCTCGCAGGCAGGAAGTACCACTATCCTTAGATCACTGTACCGCTGGAAGGCACCACACACGGAGGTGGTGTGCAGGTGCTCTAGTCCTCGGCCATCAATCAGAGAGTCAACTGTCTTCAACACCAAGCCAACCCCATGCAGTCTGATGGTAGCCACCATGGACCACAAATAAGGACCACTGAGCTGGGCCCCAGAAACCTACAGGCTACCTTGTTGCTATAGGGCACAGTTTCAGGGTGGATTAAAACACAATAGTGGACAGGCAAGACAAGGAGCACACTCAGGAGTGTGCTGCTGTTATCTGTGGCTCACCTGGGCTGTGTCACTAAGCCTGAAGTGCCGGCTCTCCCAGAATCAACACTTGTGCTCTCTTACCTGGCATTTCTAAATCCGCCATGTGATGGGGGGCTTCCTCAAGATCATCACTAAGACAATCGCAGTCGCAAACTAAATTAGAATTAGAGTTATGAGATGGGCAGATGGATTTAATTTTGAACAGATAGTATATTGAATAAAAGAAGTAGGCCTGACTCCATGCCATTAGATAAGTGCTAAACACTTGAATGATTTCATGTTTAGTGTTAGTCCCCGGTTTTCTCAGAAAATTGCAGCCCTTCAGAGCTAAATCTCCGCAGTGCATTAAGAGCCTGAACTTACAAAGCTGAAGGGTAGGCTGCCTTCTACCAGCAGGAGCAGAAGAAGCTCCGGGCGGACTAAGGTGCAGCATATCTGTCTGCTCACATCAGCAATGTTGCGATGTGCTAACAGGCAACTGTGTCTACCCCCCAGGGGCAGAAAACTACCGAGAGTAATTACAATGGCGTCCATGATTGTCTTGAGGCAGGATGAGAGCCGGGGAAGCCTTCCGCCTGGGGATAAGGGGATAAGCGGCTGCAGTGCCATGGAATCCTTCCCTGCTTCTCGCCCAGCGGTCAGTCAATCAGTCAGTCTTAAGAGGCAGGCTGTGCTGAGCTGATCTTCCTCTGGAGTAGGCGTGCTCACGAGCTCATCTCACATGCTTGTGTTATCCTTGGAAGATGCTAACACCTCTGAGGCCTCTTCAGAATCACAGAAGTGCTGGACTTTAATGTCAGCTTTTAGTAATGACACAAGGAAAGTCATGGTGCAGACTCATTCTCTTGTTCGCCTAGATCCATGCTTGCCAGTTTGTGCAGTATCTAGAAACCCGTGGCTAGCCACATTTTTCAAAACTAAATGAAGTTAAATTTCAGTCTCTCAGTTGTATTAGAAATAATTCAAGAGCTCACAGTCACATGTTGCTAGTGACTGTCATGCCAAGTAGGGCAGACTCGGGATGCCATTGTTGCCAGATACTGATGCTTAAATTTAGGCTGTTCTGGATTCTGGGGCAAAAATCCACCTCTGAAAATTTTGTTCTCAAAACAGACAAGCTGCTTGTTTTCAGTCTATACCCAAACAAGAAGCATCTTTACACGTTCCTTCCCTCCATCAGCCAAGCCACCGTTAGTTAGTTAGTTAGTTAGTTAGTTAGT